TAAAATCTTTATTAAAAATATCTCCTGCGTTACAAGGTCAAAAACCTGTACATTTTTGTTATCAATCAAAGCATATTTGAACCAAGGTTTGTAGTGAAATACTGTAAATCAATGTGATCTTTGTTGTTTTATTGAGTTTAAAAAGTAAAAACAAATATAAGCATGAAAAACAGTCAATAACAAGGGTTTATATTTATGATCAATAGAATTCAAGTATTGATTTTTCGAAGAATGTTCATATTAATAAAGATAATGTTTAATCCATCTGGAGACTATGTCTGATGACAATTTTGATTTAACCATGTTTTATTCATTTTGACATAATAAAACTGGTCTCTGACCTTACTGGAACAATCTTTGAAGGAATTGTGTCAATGCTCATTTGATTGACTGTTATCCCAAATCAGTTATTTGTGATTAAAGAAGCGTTATATCGTAGAGGAAATATGTTATGTAAATATATTCATTAGCCCTCAATTTCAAAGTGAGATAGGAGAAATTTCACTTCTATTTCCATCATATAAATCACACAAAAGCCATTAATTATTTTTCAATAATGTCTTATTAAGTATCATGTATCGTGGAATTTCTGGCTGATTTGACTTAGAGACTAGACACGCCATCCATCAGTCAATTATAACTACATGTATATCAAATATTTTGATCTTTTAACGAGACGGTAATAACAATCTTACTTGTCATTCAATATCATTAAATATCTCCGTCATAATATCAGAGACACGTCTGTTCTGTTCATCATATTTAACTATCAGTGTCTTATGTCTTGTCAATCATCAAATAATGCTCTAGAAATTTCGTCCTTAGTTGATCTGAAAGTTTTTTTCATGCTTTTGCTGTTGTACAATATCGTCAATGTCAGAATGTGCTCATGTCAACAAATTTTCAAATTTTACTCCTCTGTAGTTGTTTTAATACAACAAATAAATCATTCTGTTGCCCAATAAAGACAAATTGGACAGACTTTGCTAAATTCCTCTCAGTCGATACGAGTATGTCTAAGAGAAGTAAAAATGAAATTGGCACTGCTTCAGACAAGACCCTATCAAATAATACTTTCGCCTTTAACAACGAGGAAGCCGAAGACATAAATTTTCAATGATATGAAATCGATCAGTAAAGGACGGAAATAAATCACATTACAACCTCCTACAATTTCCTTCTGTCTAGAAAAGACTTTCTTAATTGCCACAAAACATACATTACATTGTTACAGTAGATCTGTATATATATAAACTAAAAATATACATATTATTTACTTTACAACGTAACAAATGGTACGATTACTTCTATTAGGTCTAGTTTAAATTATTACATACGAAGAAAGAAAGGTTCCAGTGTAGAATTGTAATAATGTAATAATTGTTCTTAACTTTACAAGGGATTTATTACAAACATTTTAAGTCGATTTTAACTTACGTAATATGTAAGTAAGACATCATAATATCGGTCGTAAACGTTGAAAACGTTCTGGAAACTTGGTCTTGATGATGGCAGAGGTTATTGAAAGCCAAACCAAAAGTTCATAACATTAGTGTAAAAATTCACCAAAATCGGATAATCCCCTTAGTAACGACATTCTGATTCTACAGCTGCCAAAGCCTCCTTAATTGTTAAACACCACTCAGAATAAATTTACACAGGTATACACAAAACGTTTGGTTGTAGCTTACAACTTTAATCAAAATGTGAACAATTTTTTCTTTCACGGTAGACTTGAACCATTGAACAATGCCTATTTATTCTAAAAGTAGATATTTCTTCATTTAAATGTATCATGTTTTATCAATAGATTAATCATTTTTTTAAGTTAGATTTCAGTGTATACTTTTTTCAGGAATATGCCAGGACTGGTGCCATCGCCAAAAACAGTATATTTATGTCAGAGTGTGCGTGTGCGTGTGCGTGTCAACATAAATCATAACTAACGTCTAATTTTAAATAGGCCTATCTATTCGTCTATAACCTTGGCCAGTGCTTTCATTGAGACTCGTTTCAATACACCCTTTAACCCAAATTGTGATACGGTATACGTATCATTTCAATCTTATTGGTGTTTGATTTGAGGATGGATTTTATAGTCAAAGATGATCACAGTATTTACAGAGCTGAGAGAAAAGAAGGAAGAAGTGGGTTGCGATAGCAGTCTAAGGGTTAAATGCTGACATTACAGAAAAGGATATACACGTTTTTTTTATATATTAAAGGTTAACGTCAAGTAAGCATTAATCGCGTTCAAAATGGCGTCATTTAGTCTACCTTGTCATGTGGCATTAGATAACAAGACAGTATGAAGATGTATAAAATAAAAGAAATCATTTTAAAGCGTTATACAATTATATTTAGAGATCCAGCTATTCAGCTGCCATTCCATTAAAACAAATGAGCGGCCACACAAACGGGAAACAAGTCCACTTATAGCGATATTAATTGAACTGATATAATGCTCATGAAGATTATCCTGATGATCAAAGAACGACATAATGGATGAAGTTCTGGAAGAAATGCAAATTGATCGTAACAATAGTAGACTATAAGGTAAATATGCCGACCGAAAAAGACAACGTTATTCCATCTAATTCACCATGTACGTATTAACAATATTTCTGTAAATAAATAACGACTGCCTGTTTATCTTCTATTGGTTTGAGATGAGTATATAATCTCTGACGTTACTGACATAATGTCAAACATGTCGGATTCGGCAGTATTCGCCGAATCACCCGCGGATACACTGTGCCTAGACTGTAGCATGAACGATATTAAATAGTTACACATTTACTAATAAATAAGTTTGTAATAAGTCTGCCTTCTTGTCAACTGATTTCAGGCCACTTCTAATAATGAAAGCGTTAAATTCTCTTCAGATGTATATTAGTTCCATAAATCAACTTGTATTGACGTCATTAATATGATATGCCCTAAAAAAATAAATGTGAAACAAAATTCACAAAGCATGTAATCAAAGAAGATATGATAAAAAGTCACCTTAAAAAGCTTAGCTTCTCATTTCTATTAACAATATAGTTGAGAATGAAGTATAACATGAAATATACTTGTAAATTAATACTATGGCATGCTAGATAGCAACATGATAGTTTTTTTCTCCCTGATAAAAACTGCAGTGAGTTATGAATATATATAATATGGGGAATGATAACGGCATCATTACTTTATATTTGGCATTTCAGATCCAAGTAGTTTTACATTTAAAATAAAAAAGAAAAACAATGATGATGGGTTCCAACTCTTATTTGTCACGAAATACATTGAAAAAAACAAATATTCTTGTAGCAGATTGTATTCTGTTGTGAGATTCTGTACCCTGAATAATGGGCGTTTTGTATTCAAAACTACTGGATCTTTTTTGAACATTACAAACATTAAATATTCACATATCATGACCCTTTATTATAAAATACGGGCTGATTAGGATATATACCACCCATTACAGTAGGGGATACAATTCGAACTCGCTTGAACGTCAGTGTAATCATTTCAAGCCCGAAAAAAAAGAGAGTTGTGTAGGTGTATGGTTTGATCAATCACTTAATTAATGTCATAGAGACAACTCTTTATACGTATAAAGCACCTTGACGATTCTGTGGCCCGTTCTTGGCACCTCCACCTAATAATTCATAGAAACGCTACTGATTGCTAGGTCGTTTAAATAATTTAATCCTAAACGTTGGTGTACCTTGATAATAGTCTTGATAATGGAAAGTCACATAAATAATACAGCGAACAAGTGATAAGTAACAGGAATCAAAATATCATCAGGTTTCTAATATTATGACTGACACTTACATTAAGAAAGCTGATAGAAAATAATAGAAGTAACCATTCTTATTATTACTGTATACAACCGATCATTTTCTACTGATAGATAACAATTAACCTTAACTTGACTGCAATTTCCTCTTCTTTTGTTCCCATTGGCTTTACCATATTGATTGAATGACACTTTAAGTTTAACGATTAGCGATAGTTATTTATAAAATCTTAAATAGAAAACAATTTTTATAAAGCTTTCTGGCTACACATGTTTACCACCCTGCTGTGTTCAATTTCCGGACATCATAAATAAAACCATGCTTATTGATTCTATAACTTGTTCATAAGCCAATAGTTGAGGCAGAAAAATGTTCATGGATCTGTAAATATTCGACTTTTATTTACTTATATAAATATACAATTTACAGGTTTCCTAGGCATATTTAAGAAGGATTTGAAGTAGTCTTCAACAATTTCATGTCTTATTTTTATTATTTGTTATTACATATCTGACACTTTTAATTCTCAAAACACCTCTAAATGCATTGTTTTGATATTTGATCTTTATTATACCATTGGAAAGTTGACTTCAAAGTTTAACTTTTAAGGTAGAAGAGCAGGACGTGTTGCTTCCATGTTGTAGATATATCATCTGGAAACGATCAATCTTTAAATTAGTGTAAAGGGAATTAGACGGTGTCGATTTGGCAGTTTAAAACAATTTAACACGAAAACCTCTCGTTAAGATGAAGGTACCACAAACTTAACTTACAGCCATGGATCACGTAGGTGATAACAAATACATGTATGTACTTAAATCCCTGTGGTAAAGAAGGTTTATCAACTGCTTCTTTTCTCGTAAAATCCATTTCTGTTTCATCATACCTTCGTCATGTATTCAATGAACTTAGTTAAACCTCTTGACTAAAAAAATGACAACATTGACTTGTGCACTTCTTGGAGTACATGTATATAGTTTTGAAAAAATGTTAATTCAAATTGATCAAACCCTCACAGTAATTTGAAGGTGCCGCAGATGTATGTTTTTTTTTCATAAATTTTGATAAATAATTATGTTTAGCATTCCGAATTTCAGATGAAGTATTATTTGCTTGACTTTTTTCTCTTGATACCCAACATTGTACAACCCAACATCATTTTATTAAATCTATTTTAATGACCAACTTTGTATTTGTATTTTCAGATAGTGCATTAGTTATCATGATTATATTGGCCAGTCTGAACAGCTGCTGCAATCCATGGATATACCTAGCCTTTAGTGGTAACTTGCTCAAACATCTACTACCATGCTGTAATCATAGCTCCAACCACAGCAGTAAACACAATCAAACATGGTCACATTCCAACACAGATACAAGACACAAGTCCATAGAAATGGATAGATTTAACACAAGGACTACCATAGTGAAAAGGATGGAATCTTTCAGTCAGTTGTTCGCCATAAAAAAGAAAGATAGAACAGGTGATGCTTCACCACAAAGATCAATTCAATCAGATCGATCGTCCAGCAAATCAGACGAAAACTCGCGCTCACCACATGTTAAAAAACGTGCACGTGTACATGAGCGTCCAGTCGAGGAAGTGAGGGAGGCCCAGTTAAAATGGGATCAAAATATTGGTCTAAAGGCTGGATCCGGAACACTGGATCCTGGAATGCTGTTGGTAACTGATATTTCTGACGATGAGTGTTGCATGAAGCAGGAAATTTAATTATTGGATGTGTTAAGAAATCATAGACATCTTGGCACACTTGACACAAGCACTTTGTGACATATAGAAAAATATCTGCCTTGATTGAGACGCCATACAGTTCCGTTGTGATGGGAGATTAACATGTAAAAGAATCAAGTGTTCTATTTTAAAAATGAAACCCTTAAGTTATTTTTAGTGAAGAAAACGCTTTTTAAGCCGCTAAACCGAAGAAAGATTGACATCCAGCACAGTTATATAAGAACCAGTACTAAAACAAGCGTGGAATCCAAACAGACTTAAAGCTGATGGCATCCAGTGGAGTTAATCAGAAAAAAATAAGACTTGTGATAGGAAGAGTTAATTGAAATGGTAGAAGGATATCAGTGTTTTGCCTACTTAGGTCTAGATTATAGAATCGTTCATAATAGTTGGATATTTATGTGGCATGTTTATTGTATTTGTCGTATATTTATTCTCTTTTGATGTCTGTGATGTCATCATAGTTTTTACCTCAGAGACATTTTCTTTACATAATGGCCCTGTCACACCTTAACGTATAGCATCAGCTTATTTATTGCTATAGAAAAAACTGAAATTAGTCGCATACGCTCGCAAAAGTTCTAGTGGCGGAGCCAAACGGGAGCAGAGGGGGCACCGCCCCCCCCCCCCTCGCAGCCCCGAAAGCATGTTTTTCGGGCAAAAATCTTATAACCCCCTTTTTCGCCCCCTTCAGACGTAAACCTGGCTCCGCCACTGAAACGTTCAATGAATCAGTAACCGACCTGAATTCTGTGCCAACCAAAGATATACATAACGAGCGGAACTTACTGGTAACGTATTACAGCGTATGAAATATGCGATAATATGCTCAAACGTTTTACAATAAGAAATAGTTCAAAGTCGTTTTCAGTTTATTTAGAACATTTAACACGTAGACGTACTTGCGACTGGACTTGCGCAGATTGTATGAAGAGAGTAATCTGTAATAGTAATATTATAATGTTAAAATATGATTCAGAGGCGGAGCCAGGTTTATATCCGCGGGTGCCCCCTCTGTCCCCCTTTGGCTCCGCTACTGGTACGATTCTATTCTACACTACTGTGTTTCTACTGCGTTCTGTTTTAAATTTAGTTAGTTAATTTATTGAATATTTAATGTGTAAGAAGCAGTACTGAAATATGTAAATCTGTTAACTTTTGTATTGTACTAGTAGAAAAAAAAACTACATCATCCGCAAATACAGATTGGCGAATAATTAAAGGATAAAACCTCAAACTGTTATTAATCTATACCGGTACAAATGCAGAAAGGATCTTAACGATTACTCCCCCGATCTTCGGCCTTTTTGCATTAAATGCTTGATTTCAAGAATAAAGAAGGCATTTGGAGCAATTTCTCTGCTATTCAACAATAAATAAAGTGCATTTACGGAGGTGCTCACTATTAATGTTTCTGAAACCACTTCCTGATGTAGGTGTTTGAAATTAGAATTTGTTTTTTACTTTAAGCTCATTTTGATGATTGTATGCTTCTGGCGATATGTGAGGAGGAGTTCAGTGGCGGAGCCAGGTTTGCGTCCGAGACTGTCCGAATTTCATACCAAGTTGTGAGATTTTAGTCTGAAAAACTTGCTTTTGAGGCTGCGATGGGGGGGGGGGGTGGGGGGGGTGCCCCCTCTTATCCCACCCCCCACCCTTTGGCTCTGCCACTGAAGCAGTTGGGTAATGGAAATAGTTGAGTGCTCTAGCTGTCACCATACTTCCAATGATGTTATGGCTCACAACTTCCAACTATTATTTTAATTTAAAAATATCTATGGGATTTGTGGAAAAGGCTTCGAAGATTTCTGAGCTTAAACATCCTTGTAAAATGTTGCTTTACTATGACTTACTTCAAAGCTTTAACAATCATACGCTAATGACCAATTAGAATTAGAATTTAGAAAGGGTTTTTCGACAGAAAAATGAATCGCCTGACAGTTTTCCTTTAATGTCAATTTTGTAAGAAAGATGCTGATAAACTTACAGGCTACGCACAGTGTCAAAGGAAAAAACTTATTATTATAAAATATTTTATCTGATTAACATGTCTCATAGTAAAATGATACGTGTACATAAATTTATTCTGTAACATATCACGACGATATCTCAAAACTACATCAATCATTGATAATTAGAAGATCTCACCCCACAAAAGAGAATAGCCTGCCGACCCATCACTTGCCATTTGCGGTTAATCTTAGGGTTTTTAGAGTAGTGTAGTTTAAAGATACCCCTTGAACTATCAGATCTTCATTTAGACATGAAATGATCTGGTAGTATTGTGTAAATTTAGTGTTATTTGAAATAAAATGCCTTAATGATGTCTAAATCATTCAAGATTCAAGCCAGTCCAACTCTTTCTGTGTTAAATTTCTTGAGGTGGATGTAAAAGAGTGGGTAATTTTAAGTTTCAAATCAAGAAGAGCTGTGGGCGTTCGGTAAACGAAATAAAATAGTAAGAAATGGAGTAAAACGGCATGCTATACAATACGGGACTATTGAAGACGACCAACGCAATGTGAGTTGAAAGCAACTTATAATAGCGCCACTAGCGTTCACTTTATTTCCAGTCGATGTAGATAGAATATGCACAGCCTTGTTTTTTTCATCCAAAATTACAGATTTTTCCCGTGTCAGCACATCTTGTTAGTTATGCAGGTTGGAAAAGGTGTCTCTAGAACGTAGAAGATCCAAAAGCTAGAGATCAACGGTAGTTGGTAAACGAAGCCGAATGATGGATTAATAAAAGCCTCGGCTTTTTATTGATATTTCTGTAGATATAAATTGTAATAGTTCTCATGAATAAAAAATAAATGTTTAAATAAAAGAGAAAAGGCACCACTGTTCTGATAGCAATATCCTGTCACAAAACCTTACAACAAATAGGTTTAAAATGAGTAGTATTAATAGATACATATGTTATAAGAAGGCAATTTGTTGTAAAATTGAGGTGAATCCCTCGGTCAAGAAGGATTAGCTTGAATTACTTATCTACTACAGGATTTTAATGTACAAAACACTATTTTTCACTTTGGCATATATCTTCACCAAATTGACGCTCTTTGGTGCAAGCTGTGAAGTAACTGAATGAAGCATTCATTTCATAATTTATACTATGTGCCCAAAAGGATACAGAATTAAACAATGCTAAACTTCAGGTTCAATTAACACAAGATGTAAAAAAAGGATGTAAAACTCCATGTGGTCCACTCAGCAAGATGTAAACGAGTGGGTTGAACATTTCATTTAGAGCTTAGCTTAATTTCGTTCCATTGCATTTCCTAAAACCGCCTTAATCAAGCGTTTATTCCATCTAAATCAATTATACCACTTATTGTCTTACGTTTGTTACGACTGAAGGCGGATTTCAGTACGCCTTGAGAACAATATTTCAAAGGATTAAACGAGGAAGAAATGTTCTGCTGTAATCAGGCAGATATTACCTTCATTGTAGCGTGTACATTGAATCACATTTCTCCCCTCAGATCTATCCCTACTAGACTGAATTGAAAATAGTTTTAAAGGGCTATTTTCCTCTAGACAATTGAACGCGCTCAAATTTTGAGGTTCAGTATATAGATAATAATGAAAAAGGTCACATTGTCCATCTCGGGATCGAATGGCTGGTTTATATGTTGTTAATATGAACAAAACATATTGGTAAATACAAACAATAGATTAACATAATAATACATACATGTACCTGATGACGATGTGAGAACCACATTAAAACGTTGAAAGTAATAAATATTTTAGAAGTATCTATCCATACTAATTATCTTCTTTATCTGTAACTTGTGCTTCTAATAAGCCATTAAAGGCTTTAAATAATAAATAATAACGTGTTTCTGATACTCTGAAAGTTCTGCTGGTAACTAGATGACACATTGATTTCTGTAGAATATCTAAAAATTGGGTTTTAGTATATGATATCCCTTTAATTATTTTACCAGTCTTAACCATTTCATTATTCTATCAGACTACGATAACCTAAGGAAATTGTAATTATGTAAATGCAGATTTTGACACTGTAGAATAATTATGTCATTGTTTGACGTGCGAGTAATAAACGATGAGCACGGTGACCACTTTGACTGAAATCATAGGAGTATCAGATGCCTTTTAACTGCTTCGCTTCAATTAAAACAATCTCTTCTGCTACTGTTATTATTCGATATAAAGACGACCATCGTAGATACTATATAGCGTTGTGAACTCTGCCAAGAAAAAATCCATAAGGGATCAAAAGAGATCACACGAATTTCATGGTGTTATCACCTTTTTGCAAAAGCTTCTTTATCATTCTATCGCAATAAACCAATATGTCTCGCCAGTTTCAAAACTGTGTTCTCCATCATATTCATAACTCAACATCTCATCAACATATACATACACATACCAAGTTCCATCCAAATGGAATCAAATCTGCAGCCTCTATATCTTTCAAGAGCAATGTTGAGGGGTTGTCTGGGGGACGAACGCGTGTAAACAAAGGACATTATATTTACGGCCACATATCTATAAATAAATGCTCTTGAGCATGCATATAAATTATGAAATTTGTATAATTATGCTTCTTCCAAAGTAATAACAGCTTTTCATAATAATTTCTCACTTGGAAGTCGAAAAATAGACGCCATAAAATTTCCGGGAAAAGTTCTCAGTGAAACAGTCGCATGATGTCAGAAAGTAGAGCAGCATTATGTCGGCGTTTATTAATGTCATTTTTTGATTGTTCAGTATATTATGAACGATTAAGCACACATTTATAAAAGAAAGATATAATGATCCTAATTATGACTAACTGATATTATATTACTACTTCCTTCAGGGAATAATAGTGATAAAATGATGTATAATACATATCATTAAAGGAAGGAGTAGATTCCCCTGGATTACCTTCATTTAGCCGCGAGAAATAGTAATCCTTACTAAAACTTTTCTTTATATAACAGGTGGTAAAATGAAATCTAATTATGGAATAAATCTCTTTGAGAAAATCTTCTCACCATACGACTTTTTCATGGGTTAAGTTGTTCATTTCTTTGCTTCTTGGTCCCCACAATACGTGCTTCCTTCTAAATATCTTAAAAGGATACTACGTCTTAGAATTAACATAAAATTTAAGTATTTTATACTTGGCGAATAAGAGCCAGTAGATATACCTTGTGTCATAAATAACATAACAGGGTCCATAAATAGCAATTATCCATAAATTTAAAGATTTTTTAAAGCGTTTTACAATCATTACTTAGTTTTATGAATTTTCGCATTTTCCAGATTTTACAGGGATTCTGTTGTGACTTTATGACACCAGGTAAGCTAAGTGATGAATATAGACTAATATTGACCTTTTCGAGAACATAAATTTTATATTCATTCTAAGACGTAGTATCACTTTAACTGCGACCAAGGTTCTTGATTTGTCATTTAAAACATGGCCTTTGATATGACTATCGGCAATGGAGTTTTTCTCTTAAATTTGAGCGCAAAAAATCATTATCAATTAGCTAGTCAAAATGTAAGAGACGAGGATGTTCATGGTAAAAAGACTTTGTGTCGTGACTGATTCTGAACTCTTGTTGGCGATTCTGTACACAAGAGGTGACAAGGGCGTCTAAATTAATCTATGCCGGCTAATCGGCTAATATTTTATTTGGTAATTTTAATTATCCTATATATATGAATCTATAGCTCTGATATTACATAATGATAAATAATTATAACATGATAATAGAATAAACCAATACAAATTCTCATGATATCTGCAAATGTCATCGTTTAAAACCAAATTTGAATATTGAATATACATGTTATACTCATTACGAGATTATTTCAAACGAAAACAATTCCTATTCCATGTACGTTTATCAAGATAATGCCTTGAAAAGATAAGATAATACGCATACAAAGGGAAATAACCACCTAAAGATAGTTGTCCAACTCATTGGGAATTTTACAGGATTTTAACAGCCCAATAATTCATTTGACATCTGTTTCCATTCTAAATCACGAAACTAAACCTTATATGATTATTTCCAGAAATCTTGTTGAAAACTTTCCAATATGTCAAATGAAAGCCTGGTCAATACTTAGTTTCTGGATACGTATGTGACATTCCCTGCATGTATAAAAAAAACTCAACAAAATATCTCTCATTACACACTAAATATCGTGGCCCATCAATTAAAAATACTTTTCATTTCATTGCAATTATATCAAAGATTGGAAAACCAAAATAAAATAGAAAGATAAAGTAAAGTAACTTAGATATATTTTGACCTCGTGCGACTTTTGCAATATATAACATTAAGTTATGACTGAAATATCTTTCAATATCTGACTGCCCTATTATATTGAGTAAGACAAACAATCAAAGTTCATTAATTGATACAATATCAGTCTATTGTATTCTTGGTCCGTTACTGATAAACACTTTACAATGTGAATCTAATTGAAATGTGTGTAGCCTAAATTTTTTTTAATATGTAAGTTTGTTTGGCTACTGTACTCATACTCATACTCATTATCTGAAACAAAAACATGAATATCTAAAGGTGTAAAGTTGCACCAGATCCAGTAGCCAGACTTGATTGTTCAAAGGGGCAAATAATATGTCTGGAGGGACGATTGTGTATGGTGTTTAGTTGTATTAATGGAATTGGCCGGTTGTCAGAATTCTTACAGCACACCCCCACCACTCAACCCCCTCCCCGCCCCCTCACACAAATTTGCATTCTACCCAAGAAAACGTTACAAGAATTAAAAAAATGGTCCTCAATGGGTCACAAATAAGATGTAAGACAGAAAATGGGTAGGCCTATAGATGTTAAGACACGTGATATAGATAATATAGTATTATTTTTCTAAACTTCTACTGGACTGGTTGGTACAGGTAATGGTAATTAATTTAATAGTTTTCAACTCAGTAAAATGCAGGTTGGACAATAAACTGAAGCCATGTGTTATTCATTCTGTGCACGTTATATATCAAGCCTACTGAGAAGATCAATGCCAACTGTTCTGGCAAATTCCTCTCGTTGTACTTTGTATAGCGCTGCCCATAGTCACAATCCTTATCAGGAAAAGAAAAGTTATAAAAAAAATCTCTTTCAAGTCATTTCTTTTACTGGCCTAAATGCTGAAGTGCTTATTAGAATTGTTTTCGTTATGAAAATCAAAACTCCTTTGATTATTGTATTTAAATGTATATCTATAAGGCTCGCTTGATTGTTCATGATTCTAATAATGTTATACGTGTTGTTTTAATTATATAATCTCGAATAGTGTACATATCTTGTAAATTATGTACTGCTTTTAATTTCCAACTCGATGAAAAGAGCCTCAATATAAAGTTAGATAAACATGATTTTCCATTGAAGCGTACATTAACTTGTCATCTATCAACCAACCAACCATTTTCCATTGACAGATATTCCAGAAGTTCAATTCGATGCTGAAACAACATTTACCTGTATTTAGAACAATCCTTAGACATTTTTTTACAACCGACCATGAACGTTTTAATGGTAGAAAATGAAGACTTGTTCGTTAATGAATCTATGTGGACTGCTGCTGACTTATATGTTACCTTTGCCAACGTCTTCATCTTCTTCCCAGATTATGTGCAACTGGGAAACACCGAATGGTTGGATTGACCTTCGTTCGTTGGCAAATACTGACGGCTCACCGAGGTTAGTTTTCTTAAACATGAAGATTGACATGGGCTATATGCTGGCACTGGATGTCTTAAATTCGATCCCGGCAAAAATTTCAAGTTGGTACCTACGTATTTACCAACCCAGTTTCAAATTCAGATCAGCAGACTGATAGATCAGTGATTATTATTTGATCATTCAACTAAGCCACATTCCATTCATATTCCCATTACATGACGTTCGACTTCAATATCTCGACCAAAATATTAAATGACAAACTCTGTGTTATACCAATTATCCACATATTTTAAATTGTCAATAGGTTTGTAGAAGTTGAAGATTCGAGAGGTTTGTTTATATATTATTGGAATCCTTGTTTCCAGTTCAACCTACACGCCGGTCAAAATACTTCAGTAAGTTACTATCCTAATGTATCCAGGTTTTCTTAAATCATTGGGGTACTTTTGCTCCCATTGTAAGTGTAGTATAGTGTGAGTCAGAGTGGTGTTAACAGTATCCTGACTAGGTCTGTCAGTATAATATTAATCATATTATCTTCTAGGTGTGAGAGTGTGATATTGACGACATTATCCCCTAGGTCTGTCAGCGTAATATTAATCATATTATCTTCTAGGCGTGAGAGTGTGATATTGACGACATTATCCTCTAGGTCTATCAGTGTAATATTAACCATATTATCTTCTGTGAGAGTGTGATATTGACGACATTATCCCCTGGGTCTGTCAGTGTGATATTAATCATATTATCGTCTAGGCGTGAGAGTGTGATATTGACGACATTATCCCCTAGGTCTGTCAGTGTGATATTAATCATATTATCTTCTAGGCGTGATAGTGTGATATTGACGACATTATCCTCTAGGTCTGTCAGTGTGATATTAATCATATTATCTTCTAGGCGTGAGAGTGTGATATTGACGACATTATCCCCTGGGTCTGTCAGTGTGATATTAATCATATTATCCTCTAGGTGTGACAGTGTGGTATTGATGATATTATCATCTAGGTGTGACGGTGTGGTACTGATGATATTATCCTCTAGGTGTGACAATGTTGTATTGATGATATTACCCTCTAGATGAGTTAATGTGCTATTAATACTATCAGTATGATAATGATAGTATTATTATACAGGTGTGTCAGTATGATATTAAGAAAGGTATATACTATATTATTGGAAGAGAAGGTGGTGTTCAGTCAGTGTGGTATTGATGTTATTATCATCTAGGTGTGACGGTGTGGTACTGATGATATTATCCTCTAGGTGTGACAGTGTGGTATTGATGGTATTATCCTCTAGGTGTGACAGTGTGGTATTGATGGTATTATCCTCTAGGTGTGACAGTGTGGTACTGATGATATTATCCTCTAGGTGTGACAATGTTGTATTGATGGTATTATCCTCTAGGTGTGACAATGTTGTATTGATGGTATTATCCTCTAGGTGTGACAATGTTGTATTGATGGTATTATCCTCTAGGTGTGACAGTGTGGTACTGATGATATTATCCTCTAGGTGTGACAATGTTGTATTGATGATATTACCCTCTAGATGAGTTAATGTGCTATTAATACTATCAGTATGATAATGATAGTATTATTATACAGGTGTGTCAGTATGATATTAAGAAAGGTATATACTATATTATTGGAAGAGAAGGTGGTGTTCAGTCCCATACTATGGAAGATTTATCCTTTAAATATACAGCAGATACTGATATCTTCAGGTAAGTATCACGTCACCCAATGCCACTCAAGGATTGCAAACCTCGACTGGTGCCTGTTAGTCCGTATCTCTTTACTGTCATGTAAGAAACTCTCTCTACTGTCATGTAAGAAATTAAACTCCCTCTACTGTCATGTAAGAAACTCCCTCTACTGTCATGTAAGAAATTAAACTCCCTCTACTGTCATGTAAGAAACTCTCTCTACTGTCATGTAAGAAATTAAACTCCCTCTACTGTCATGTAAGAAACTCCCTCTACTGTCATGTAAGAAATTAAACTATCTCTACTGTCATGTAAGAAACTCTCTCTACTGTCATGTAAGAAATTAAACTCCCTCTACTGTCATGTAAGAAACTCCCTCTACTGTCATGTAAGAAATTAAACTATCTCTACTGTCATGTAAGAAACTCTCTCTACTGTCATGTAAGAAATTAAACTCCCTCTACTGTCATGTATGAAACTCCCTCTACTGTCATGTAAGAAACTCTCTCTACTGTCATGTAAGAAACTCTCTCTACTGTCATGTAAGAAATTCAACTCCCTCTACTGTCATGTAAGAAACTCCCTCTACTGTCATGTAAGAAACTCTCTCTACTGTCATGTAAGAAACTATCTCTACTGTCATGTAAGAGACTCTCTCTACTGTAATGTAAGAAACTCTCTCTACTGTCATGTAAGAAACTCTCTCTTCTGTCATGTAAGAAACTCTCTCTGTCATGTAAGAAATTCTTTCTACTCCTCATGTAAGAAACTAAGTCGTTCACATGTTTATGACTATGTTTGACAGAATGTACAGTAAAGTTGTAATTATTTCAGGACTGTAGATATTGCATTAGTATGTGATAGCATGGTAGAAGGATATTTACACTTTCTTAAAGAACATCCTATTACGCATTACGTAAGTTCTTAGATGGCCTCCTTACAGCTTCATCATATAACTTTTTTGAATTAAATTTCTCCTGAGATTGTGAATCATAGTTGAAAACGCCATTCTAGCCACTACAACCTACACTTAATTAATAGGAATGGGTCATGATATTACTAAACTAAACTAACTAAACTCATTGATTTCAGTTTTGAAACAGAATGTAAAATATAAATATATTACGTTTGTGTGATCGGGTTTCTGTGTATCATTTCTAATACACATACCGTATAGTTTGCCGATTATTTTTGAAATTCGGATCTTTAAGTCTATAATTTCCTTTTTCACGCTAGCCATGGACCGTTTACTGATCCTTTAAACCTCTTGTGACCCCATTGCTCTAGCGGATATTATATTTCATATGGAAAATCCCTCGGGATGCAGGATTTTTTTTTCGGCCGTTTTTTACCCTGTATATAATTTCTGTTAAATACTTTCAGACATTTGAATTACGCAGTAAGTACGCCTGCCCTGTACATGAGGTATTCAAACCACCAATTGTTTTATCCCAGGAAAAGATAAATCTTGAAAAAAACGCATTACTGGCACTACCTCAACCGCTACCAAAATATTATAATCTGGAAAACATCACAATATTCCTTTTATTTCTCATGTGAGTTAATTTCAGTGACGAAATTCCCTGAAAATTGTTTGTTTGACTTTAAGTATCTTGGTGAACATTTCCAATGAGAAAGTTGTGCATATGACATCCGTAATAGCTGTTCAGACGGAATAATGATAAACAAGTATCTTTAAAGGGACATTCCGCTTTTTTGTAAAATGTTTTCATAATCTAAAGCGTTGTAAATTATACCTAAAAATATTTCTAAAAGATGCTATTTATATATATGTATCTTAAATGGGTTAATTAAAAACGAACTGTACTAATTGTTAATTGAGCTTTGGTGTTTGACTTTTTAACGGTTCGTTATATTCAGTTGAAACCTTTAGAATATGTGAGAGACATATTTCTCTAGAATTTGGTGTTTATTATACGTAAATTCATTCAGTAGTTTCTAACAGCTTCCAAAAGGCATAACGAACTTAAATTCCTTACGTAATGTTTTTAAATATTTTTTCCGTTTAAAACTGGATTTTTTAAGATACCTTAAAGGGCACATTTCTCCAGATTTTGGTGTACGTTTTCACATACATAAGTAAAAAAATTTCGACATACAAAAAAGTGGAGTGTCCCTTTAAGTAATTATTTTGAAATGTATAGCAAACATCACATGCTCCGAATGTCTGTGGATATAAACTTCTTCATTTATTTTCCTTACAGAATTACAATAATAGTATTAAGTATGGCATTCGTAACTGGTCTAGGAGTAATTGTATTCAGGAATATATGGAATGTTGGTACAAATAATTCAGAGCAGGAGACCGTGGGAAGTCTATCGTATTCTTACCAATACCTCACAGAATCACACTTCTTTAATCCTACTTTAGAGGCATCATTTTTGAAGGATTGTAAAGAGGAATACGTGATGGAAAATGCTGAAGATTGTGATGAACTTGAAGAAACTGTATTTTGAGCTTTATCGTCTTGTAAATTATAGTAGACATTTCTGTGTAGATATAACAACAATGTAAAGATTTAACGATTAAACGAATGTATGCCGTATGAAAGTATACGGATTATCTACCATAGTTTCACAATGATTGTAACTAGTGGATGTGATATTGTGAGTTTTATCACTCTCTGGAGGAGTTTTATGTAAATACTTTTCACTTCTGTTTTTTCTAATAGAGCTAAAACTTGATGATAACCCGATACAGGAGCACATGCTGGAAGGATTAGTCATCTGAAATATCGTGTTCAATCATAAGCATAACTGTGACACGATAGGAATGAGTCACAAGTGAAATGCTATGCCACTGTTTTAAATGTTTGACATCTTTTCTGGATGAGTTGCTCGTACGAATGAAAAATGTTCAAATACAATAGCATTACATGTTTTGAAATTGATTGAATTACAAAAGATTCTCAAAGGCATTGACACTTTTTATTAAATATGAACAACCTAGTGACATCTTAAGAATCATCTGTTAGTGACCAATTCCTGTTTAGTGTTGATTCTCGAAATCTTTTCACAAAATAAGGACGTCGTGATGTGCAAGTGAACGATACGAGGTCATTACTTTTATGTTTGTTTTTGAAAATATGAAATCATTTATTTGGATTCGTTTGAATCTACTATATACTCATTCAATTCAATCAAGTTGTTCACACAAAGAATCATATCTTGAACCAGTTCGATTTCACTTCGTCCTAATCGTATCCAATTAGAAATATCTAGTCGATCAATCAGCTTAGAATGTTCACCAAACGATCCTCGTACTTGACACGAATATTTCCTCGCGATCTTATCCAAATCTGCCTTTGAAAGCAGTTTTAAAACATTTGGTAAAAGAATGTGAACAGACGCTCGCATTCCTGTACCTAGATTCGAGGGACAGCACGTTAAATGACCATGAGAAGGCGTAAACCAAAATGCAGATTCCACAGCTAACTCAATCTTAATTTGCTCTTCAAGCTGCTTAACTCCTCGGAACAATCTTCTAAAAACACCCTCAATATCAGCACCGGTTTCCAACGACATAATTCGCAAGTGGTCACCTTCGTTAACCCACACTAAGAATAGTTCACTGTCTGAAATAAAGATTCCCCTCCCATGAGGCCAGTGCTGGTGATACCCCGACGCTGCCTGCATTCTGTCGCCTCCACGGAACAGGTAGTGCTTGTCCACAAGATATTGCTGCTCATCGATGCTCATTTCTGTATGTCGGTAAAACTTGCCCGTTAGTCCACCTTGTAGATTTTGAAATAATCGTTCCATGAGATCGCAAATGGCAAGTCGACTTTCTTTTGATCCAGTTGGATTCAGAGGAAAAGAAGCAATGTTTCTGGCAACCCTTACACGAGATGATAGTATGTGCTCTTTAGAATGAGCCGTCCATTTTGTAGTTATTTCGTCGGCGTTTATGTTTGTAACATGTTTCCTTTTAGTGACGTTATATCCGTCATGGTATCGTTTGATCACTTTGTTAAATAAAACATCTCCAAAAAGGGAGTAGGATTCAGCATCCCCAGCATGGCAACCAATCAAAGATGTAGGGTTCATAACACCTGTGTTGATTGCTCGTGCTAATGACCAGCCACCTTTTGTCTTCAGGTTGCAGTACTTCTCAAATTCACGTTTTCCTGTAACTTCAAGGGCAATAATATCAGAGTCTTTACCGTCTAAATGACTTGGCCACTTATTTTTTTTTAAATCTTCATCCATGATCAGATCGTACTTTGGATTTGGAAATTCCATAGTCCAAAGCTTTAAAATGGTTCTGTTTTCTTGTAATCTAGAAAAAATTCAAATATAACATGTTGACCATTATCGATAGTTTGTTCTTCAAACGTCTAAATGATGAAGTATATAAACAATCTTTCAAATCTAAAAAGGGAACAAATGTATTTATTGCAATAATTCATTTATACCTTATCAACTCATTCAAGTGTCATAGTTGGTAATTCTCATTTAATCTGTTATAATCTTTTTATGTTTTAATTGTCGATTGTTGTACTAAATCTACATTTTAATCCGTCTTATGTTTCGATGGTCGATTGTTAATCAATTAATGTCATTGTCATTTTATTTTAAATACGGAATGTTATGTTATATGGGCATCTTGGATTGACCAGATCACCTACACAGACGGACAATGCCGGTGTATTGTAAATATTGTAACCATTTAATATTAAACAGTTTCAAGTTCTTAGTTTTAGTGTAATTCTTCACTACTTCAATATTGACCATTTCTCTTCTATGCCCTGCATCTGTTCCCGTACTCATCGTCTCACTACTTAATATTCTGTAATTTAGTCGCGGTCATCTGGTGTAGCCAGGACTTCATTATTGGCAGTTCTAGAGTTGGCTAAATGGAATACGAATTATGAGAGACGACCTATGCACTTACCTTAATTTAAGAAGATGGTCCAGTTTTCAGTTATCCCATTTTTATAGGTCACTCTTGTGGGCTTGTAAACGTGAGTAAAGAACGAAGTATGATTAATAATTCAATGATCATAATTACCAAATCTTAGTAAAGTTCAGTCTCAGTAAAGCAAGCTTCTAAGTAGTAATGAATCAGATTCCAAACTCTTTGAAAAAATTGAATTTAACCACCAACATTAGCTGATAGTTTTTCTTCGAATTACAAAATTACAAGAATGAGGCTAATGAGCTCGAAAACAGTTTTGAATATATTAGCTTAGTTGCCTATTCATGTGTGTTTTCTTTTAATGTAGGCAATAAAAAGAAGACTTGATTCGATCTTGTAAGGCCTCACCGACTTTAATGAATAGAACAGTAAACAATGACGATGTTTATTTATTTATAATGTTAGTAAAATAATGTCATCTAAAACAGGGGAACATCCGCAAAATGTCTTGATAGTGACCGTGTCCATATTTTCAATGTATATATCAGTCAAGTAACCTAATTTCGTGGAAACCTTTTTTTTCGTGGATTTCCGGAAAGGATTAATAATTTACATGTGCGACCTCGCGTGACCTTCGCATTTGCTTGTTTTGATAAACATGGGTTTTTTGTACAATATCAGCTAGTAGAATGAATTCAGTAGTTTCAAGCAAGGTAAAATTATTAAGGTATACTTTGACAAATACAAAATGGCGGATTTCACTTACTACCAAACGTCACCATTTTTTAATCGGCTGAATTTCCTTATTAACCCCAAGTGGTAATCGGAATTCCAAGTGTCGTCTGCTAGAATGTAGTCCAACGAATGAAGTCACGTGATCAACTAGCGGATTCCGTGTCAGCAGTAAATTTCTATGGAACACAAAGTGGACCATATTCTTATGTTGTTTCAGTGACTTTTAGCAATAAATCAAGCTACGTATCATATTTTCTCAGTCACAATTTAATTTTAAAATCGTGGTTCTTTGAAGGAATTGTCACTAGTTATAATGAATTGATATTAAAAATAAATACTAAGAGAAGTTAATTATACCACCCGGTATCCATCTAGACTTATTTATAGATCAAATATTGTACATGAAAATAGGTGACGCATTCTGTCGCCGTTGCCGAGTTGGTTGCTTAACTTTGACGAAATCCTTATATCCACGAAAATAGGTTACACCACTGTATAGTTTCTTTATTGACTTTTTGAACCATATAGTTGAGCCCACCTTAAAAAAATCCCCCCCCCCCCTTAGAGATTGAGCAGGAAGACATCTATACATTCTGAAAACGGGGGTAGCAGTTTCTAACTAGTATTTAGCAAAGCTGATAATCATGTAGTAAATTTCTGAAGCCGTGTTTGGGTTGGGGATTATTAAGAAACAATATTGCTACCACATCCACGAGCAAGCTGTGTTATTTTGTCACAAATATATAATTATTCTAATTTAATAATTAAATCATATCAATTGATTGTTAGTGTTTAACACTTGATGGAATTTTACACTTGATGGACACGATCTAATTTTCCCGACAAATCTCGGGAAAGTCTCAAAAACGAGTCTCAAAGACGATGCTATACTCTATTCGATTATACATGGTTGTTTAATTTCCATAAAAGGGAGTTTCGGGGGAAGATCATCATTGTAAATTTTTAACAATTCTAGGGCGAGGCTTAGTGCATGGGAAGCATTTGTAGCCATTCGGACATTGTGTAACCCATAAGTCCATGATTGATAGAAACCGTCTATCTTCTTATATTGGTTCCCTATAAGTACATGGGGAATGTCCATTAAAACACTGAGTATATGACCATGAAGTCGGTCAGTTATGACAACACGTCCACGTTGTAAAAAGGTAAAACCACTGTTAACAAACATAAAGGCATTAGATAAAGCATTATAATTGTCAATATGAGTAGACCATACCACCCAGTCGTCAGAAGTATACAATATGTCATGAGGGATTTCATCAACGGGTATTTCATAACCAGGTGACTCTTTGTCCACTCTCTTTAACCATACTATATCATATGTTGGATCCATAATTCTCTTCTTTGGTCCTATTTGAAATGCCATATCTGGAGCTAGGATCAATTGGGCTTTACCAATAAAATGTTTTTTACCTAGTTCAAACGAGATCTGATCTCGGAATAGCATGGTTAAGTTTTCCTGATTTCTGTAAAGCTGATGACAAAATTCTAAATGTTCTGGTGTCGATTTGATGAACAGTGTCTGTGGAAACATTATAAAATTAAATCCTTCGAAGTGTTTAAAAGCTCTCGCCCTTAAAAGATCGTGAGTTTCCCAACCAATTAAATTACCACCACCTTGGATCATAATTACCAATTCATCTTTAGAATACAATTGGCTAATCTTAGAAGCCACAGTTAAACTGGGATCAGTACAGCAAGCTTCTGAGCAGTAATGAATCAGTTTCTTTCCAAGTCTTTGTATCAACAACACCTCACCAACAGTGATAGCTGGGTCTCCTTTACTTTCCGTATGAGATATGTCTAACAGTATTACAAATTTGTACGGCCTCAAAAGTTCTGTAAACAGATTGAAGTGGATTCTTTGGATTTCGTTGATGACGCTTCTGGTGTCGGTGAGCGCCTGTACCCGGGTCTCCTCTTGTGGGTTGGACAAAACGGATTGATAAGAAAACCCTAATTGTTTGACTAAATCATCCAACAAAGGATTAATTTTGAGGTTTTGTATATCTAAATGTTGTGAATATGCACTGCGTCTGTTTAAACTAACCTGGCTGTGTTCGAATGATGGTGATGGAACGATCTGTGTTGCTCTTGTTGAAAGTAAAATCAGACTTAGTAATATTATATACTTCATCATCTGAAAACCTATAACGATATTAAAAGATTATGTATTATTGTCTAATTACTACTATGAGATCAGCCTATTTACATCTAGTATAGTGGCGTATTTTTCAGGTCATGATCCCCAACCCCACCCCATCGGGTCGTAGAAAATTAAAATATTATACTTTCACTTCCAAAATTGAGTTAGATGCATATTCCCGGCTTCCCACAATAAAAATTTCCACAGGGGAAGTCCGCCCCTCTTTCCCCACAATAACTGGTACCCTCTAAAATGCGCAAAAGGGTAGGAGGCTCTCTAACAAAATTAAATGTTTTTTCGGGAATCAAAAGGGATATCTAGTTAACAAGTTTGTGACTGCTGAGAAAAAGTGGAATGTGCTCATATTCAAACAACTTGGCCTAAATCTCTGTATATTTACCTGTTTGTTCATATTGTTGTTGATCTGGTAATGATTCTGCAGTTGCCAGACGCTGTGTTTGAATCCGGTTTGCTATCAGATATAGAGACAACCCAGACCACTTCCAGACGTCAAACGAACTACCTTCTATCAACAGTAACATTATGATTACTAATATACTTAACTCTATTACCCCAGTCCTAGTATCTGTGTCTTGACGAATATTCAGTTTGGAAAAATACATGACTAACGTGGCGGCTACATTTACTGTAGATACAAATAATATCACACAAGCCTTTTGTTCAAATAATCCTATATGTTGTAAAATCAAAACTAAAACCATAAGCATGATGATACAGAAAATCGATTTTAGGATTTGCTGCAATCTCATATTGGTGCTTATGGCAGATGTCTTTATTAAACGTTGGTGCATAAATCCACCAACATTAGACGATATTATTGCAGCAAAGCCCAGACTTGAAAATGTTCCCCCAAAGATATAAACGCTAAGCATCATAATAATTAATAGGCAGATGGTAGAAGATCTACACGATTTCTTCCTCAGCGAATCCAAAGCCTCCGAAATCACTGGTTCCGATGATTTGAGCATAAATGCCATTGTCATTGGCACATAACACAAGCCATATAAAGTTAGGCACAAACAGCAAAGTTCACAAACTAAAGAACTGTATTTAAATTTCTTTAGCACTAGTAGATGAACCATAAAAATGGCCAGAACTGATACTGCTGATAGTCCGATTATAAACAAAATTTCAGATTCAGCTAGAATAAGGAACAGTTTACTCGTCAAGAAAAATATTCCACCACTTAGTACGCATGCAAATGTTATTTTGTCACCCATCATTGCAGAAATGACTCTCACAGACACCGTACAATGCTATTATTCTGGATGATAGAGAAAAAGATGGCAATATATCACACCAGTTGCTGTTTATTCATCCAATATTTTACAGATGAGTAATTTACTGGCCACTGTTTAAACTCGTTGTTTCACAAAATATAGCTTTTCAACAAGTGGTTTGCCCACTAACAATTTGTAATATAATATAAAATATGATAAAACCAAATATGCAAAATATAATACAGTATTTATAAGTTTATTTATGAGTCAATAAAATAAAATAAAATGCCATTTATAATATGATAAGTTGCAACATATGTAGGTCTTGCCTTTCTACTTACTATTGACTACCTGTTACAATTGACTTAATGTGATAAATCACAGATTGTAACAATTTCTAAATTGCTGGTATGTTACCAGTATACACGCCCTGAACAGCTACATTAGCCGCGTGACTATACATCACATCTTATGATCAAGTTTTGCTACAATGTAGAACATGAGCTACTGGATGGAACCTTAAAGTCGGTGTGCTTTTAAACTACAGAATCGCCCTTCCCGGGAGTTGATTTGTATATAGTATATTTGTAAACAGTCTTCAGAATTACTAGAAATGTACGAAAATCGAATAATCCATTCACCTATAAATGAAACTAGCAATTTCACATAATAAGTCTTTTCTATATATGGCTCAAGTCATGAGTCTCAAGAAAAGACGAATCGTCAATTAATAATTCTGTATTGAAGGCTCAAATTCCGTTGTTAACATCATTACTGATTAGCTAAACTAAAAAATTCCCGTTTCTGAGAAGATATGATTGGTCGACAGAAGATGAACTTGATTAAAATACGCATAACTTGCGGTTAGAGATTGACTGTTTTTAAGATTTTATTAGAAACTTTTTCTCTAGTTTTCCTCACGTTTGACCGCGGCCTAGTACATTTCATGTTGCTGTAAGGTCGCAAATGGTCAATGGAACATTAAGGAATTCTTGTTTATGTAGGTTATAGTTTCATGGTTTATACCAAGGAGTATAGTTAATCTTTACTCCAAGGTTTATACTATTGTGTTTACCTTGGTTACCGCGTATCAGCCATCTTGGTTTTAGCAAGCAATAGTTAGAGTCTCTAAATTTGCAAACATTTCAATCTTACAATTATTACAACTACTTTCATTTATTCACTGCAGAAGTTCCCTGCATTTTATATTTTTCACTAAATTTCCTTTAAACAACGCCATGCCTAGTGCATATTCATATATTTTAACGGAATGTCTGTATCGACTGTATAGTTAGGGTAAATATTCCACTCTTTTCAGCGACATAACTCCTTTCAGTACTTTCTGTCATTTAACAAAATAAGATAAGATACAAACAAAAAAAAAACAAAAAAAAAAAAAAAGGTGAATTCACCTACACTGTTTTCAATTATTGTCTTTATCCTATATTATCTCCCTTAGTACAGGTTTAAATAAAGTACTTGTTACGTATAATTTGAATACTAAACTTGTCGGCAATTTAATCTAAAGCTTCACCCGATTGGGATCCACTTTAAATAGAATACAAGCAACCGTAAAAATAAAATCTTGATAGCATCACCAATTTGACGTCAAGACATCTTTAGATGGTAAACAATTTGTCCCAAATTTTTCATAATTCAAATAAATAGAAAAACTATTCCTGTATGTTTTACTATAATATGTCAAAGATAAGTTGCCAGGCAAAGTATTATTTGCTCACTGGCAGCTTTGATTTTGAATAAAAAATATTTGACAGTACAGTAACAATTACCAGTATGAAATATTCAACCTTCAGTCATACACTCCTTTTAAACTTATATGGGTGAAACTGAACAGCATTAACAAGTTTTGTCAAAATCCAGAAAGAATCCTTCCTTTTAGCGTTTACAAGCTAAAAATTGAAAGTATTTTCAAGAACGAGGTCAATAAATCAATTTTTTGATATTTTGTTTTTCAATAGAGTTTATCCAATGGTGATAATAAACAATCTCACCAAGTTTCGTCAAACTCAGTCAAGAATTGTGCCTTCTTGAGTGTTTCAAAGGTAAACATTGCGTTTCCAAGAATAAGGACAATAACTCGCAGTAAAATTTTCGATTTTTCTGATTTTTAATAGGGTTCTTTTTTGGGTGATTACAAGCACTCAAACCGAGTTTCGTCAAAATTATTTCTGTTGAATGACCTAATTTCTTTCGGAGACTAGAATATCATGTGCCTAAAAGATGCAATGCACAATATGTTAGCGAGACTCCAAAGGCGTTTCTAACGCGATTCAAGGGCCATCGCTATGATAGACCAACTGCGAATTACTTCAACCTTCCCGAATTCAAATGATGACCATTTCATCATGCATGCAGTTTCTACATCACCTAGTATCAAACCTAATCTTAGACGTCTACAACGCAAAAGTTATTGGATCGATCAACTACAGACTGTGATGCCAAATGGACTCAACATTCAACATGATAACCAGATAATTCCGCTTGTAATTTGAGTCCATATAAATATTTTATAACTAAAAGTCCCATTTTACCGGATTTAGATAATGAGGACAGGCAGTGTGAGATTGGGAAGATTTCGTCAAGACGGGATCATAAGCCTTTTTGGATCTTTAAGGTACACAATAAAAGACTTACATACCTATACCTAACATCGGTTTAAATTTCTGATGGTTAAATCTCGACCAAATCCTGGACTTTCAAGTTAGCAAACAAAGGACTCACTGATCCACCCGGCTCTGTATTCAGTGGTATATACGTTGCTAATTGTAACAGCTTTAAGTATATTATACATTTTGGATTGTACATGTACACTTGTCATTCCTAAAATCTGTTCGCCTCTTTACATTTACCAAGTCTTTGACCTTTATATATTACTATTTTCTCTGTTTGTTGATCTACTAGGTGTATTCCACTCTTTTAACATTTATTTCTTCTCCAAACCTTTTCTACCTCAGCATCTGAAGAGTGAATTGACCTAGTTTAGTAACGTTTGGACAGAAATATCTTATGTCATTTGTAATTTACAAGTAATTCGGTCGTATTTACTCTGGTATCCACTGATGAAAAAGGTAAACAAGGCTCCGAGTATCTTCAATGTAAGTGTATTATATATCAACTGGACTGGCCAGCTCTTCTACCTACAGAAACTACACATGATCATACCACAGCCCGTATACCGAATCTGTGGATCGCATTGGTACAACGCACCATTATTAGATATTAACCGTATGCTTACTACTACGAGTTTCCACCAAGATAGCAAAGTCTTTGATTGGAATCATAATATAATCTGTTGTCATGTACCACGTAGATTGAAAAATCTGAGATTGGAACTATAGCATGATCTGTAGTCATGTACCATGTAGATTGTATTACGTCCAGCTGCAGTTTCCGAGTTGTCAAGATTGTTCAAGTCACATGGAAATAGCATTGATTTGTGACATATGATTGTCACCATTTTTTCAGTTTCTTGCAAAATCTGGCTGTGTCGTTTGAATAATTTGGTTTTTTTACCTTCTATACATAACTCATCGTATCACGAATACGGGTTTTGACATGGTCTTATCGTATCGCGATTACGGGTTTTTTCGTTGTGTGGGCGTGGAAATGAGATTGGTGCTATTTGAATCTGATTGGTAGAACGGAAATGAGGTCATGTAAACAAAACATCGCTTTGCCGTCGCCAGTTTTAAAAGATTTTCTTTCAAAGTATAAGGTTCAAAGTAAGGTTTGATTTTCTCTCGGCTTCAATTTTTTGCCAAAAATCTTATTCAATTCTTTACGTACATAGTAATCAAAATATGTAATGACACACTGCTTTCGATTTGCTTACGTTCGCGTCATAACGAGTGATTTGTTTTGATTGGCTGAAATTTTGCTACCAATACAGCAGGGTGAATTTTGATTGGGCAATATTTAGCTATGAATAGGTAATTTTTGTCACTTGTATTACCACGGCCTCGAGGAAGTATGACGAATGGCGACGTGGTTTTGACACGATGTACATAACTGTATCTTAAATGGCTCGAATCTCTTCCCTTTATCTCCTTGGTGGCATGTATACTTTATAAGCTTTTTAAGTCGGTGACCAATTCAGACCATATTTACCTTCCTTTCTTTTTTTAAGCAAAATGTCAAGCGAGAAAAATGCATTTGTCGATCGTAGTTGTTTGCTCATACAAAAAACATTGCAATAAATAAAAAAAATACTTTCAGATTATTCTGTATGGCACATACACTGTAAAAAGATCAAAGGTTCTGACATAGCACACCTTTCTATACATCTAGAGGAGTGGAAGTTTTACATCATCACGTCAAACTAACCAGTAAGTTGCTGAAGTCCTCAATATACGTGATGTATAAACAGTAATACTACCTGATACCAAACATGGTAGCTGTATAACAGTTAACATCATTAGTATGTACTTCTACATATCCTTCTACCTTTTTGTTTTCTTCAGTACACGTAACCAAATCCTTATAATCTACTCTTTAAGAAGTGGATAATCTCTGCACTTCTACTTTCCTCAAACCTTGTCGAAAGGAAAATATATATTGTAATTATGTGGATTGTGAACTCTATAAGTCAACAGAGAGTATATTTTGGAAAGAATGGATGTGGTGTCTCACAAGGCTCCATTCTTGGCCCCCTTTCTATTTCTGACTTTTGTAAATGACGAGCCACTTTTCACCAAAAACTCCACGCCAGAAATTTTTGCGGATGACACTACCATACA